CGCGAGCGGCCAGGGCCTCTTCCGGCCTCGGTGGCCTGGGAGGACCGGCTCCTTCCGGAACAGCGCAGTCCCAGAGACCCCGCCCCCTCCCGGGGTGTCAGACGTGGATGGAGGTCGCGCTCCGCCGTAGGGAAGGGGGGGGCCCCACTTCCTCTCCCGGGCAGACGCTCGGAACCCAGAGCACCCTTGGGCGGGCGGAGTGGCGCCTTTTTTAAAAAAAAGGCCCCTTGCAGCCTTTCGGATGGCCCCGATGCAACTGCAGTGTCGAGTGACCCGTTTGGTTTGGTTGACGAGCAGGGTCTCCCGGTAGCCTAGACTCGCCTGCAACAGGCTGTCCAAACGAGGATGAGCCCCGAGCTTCCCCAGAAGCTGGGGTCGCAGGGTGTTCGCACCCCCCCCCCCCCGTGCTGGGTGTTCTTGTGGTGCTGGCTGGCGATCGAACCCGGGACTTCCTGAGTGTTAGGCAAGCACTGCCAGCCGAGTGACATTTCCGCCCGGGTTTACCGAGTGAAGGACGAGACAGTTCTGGCCTTGAGTGCTTGTTGGATCCTGCTTCAGAATTCCCCATCATGCCCACTCTTCGGGGTGGCTCCCCAAGCCAGCCGGTTCCTTCCTGTCTCTGGTTTCTTCCTATGCCCGAGCTCTCACCGCAGGCCATCATCCTCCCTGGTTGTGTTTTAGGCTGCTTCAGTGCACAGGCTGGTTCTGAACTCCAGGCATTGGCACCCGCGGCTCCTGCTTAGAGTCTTCACTTTACAACTGCCTCCTGGTTTAGGTTTCAGCTCAAGTCGATGCTTCTTCTTCTTCTCCCCCCCCACCCCCCCACCCCTGCCCCGAGACAGGGTTTCTCTGTAGCTTTGCGCCTTTCCTGGATCTCGCTTTGGAGACCAGGCTGGCCTCGAACTCACAGAGATCCGCCTGCCCCTGCCACCACCGCCCGACCTCAAGTCGCTTCTTAAACAGACCTCCTCCCGCCAGAATTTTCCTATTTTGATTTTCTGCTTCCCTCTTGCCATCTGTTGAAAAAGCCCAGTTCCCATTTGTGAGAGGCACTCTTGAACTTACTGGAAGTGCTAAGAAAATGTGCCTACTGCAGGAGGTCCAATATGTCAGCTGGTAAGGACTAGTTAAAATGGTTTTGTTTTTTTTTTTTTTTTTTGAGGGTAGAGGATGAAGTTCTGTGATAGAGGGCATTTGTGCTGCCTTGGGCTCAGTCTGAAGCCCTGAAAAAACAAAGGAAAGTTTGAGATGTATGGGGTCTCTTACATTATTGTCAGACACCCGGGAGTCAAGAGAATGCAGAGTGTTGTCAAGCTTGCTTTCTGTGTGTAAAAATCAAAAGACTTTCAGGGCCTGGAGAGATGGCTCCACAGTTAAGAATGCTTGCTGCTGGTGCAGAGGACTTGAGTTGGTTCCCAGCACCCCGTCAGGTACTTACCAAGGATCTAGCATTCTCTTCTGGCCTCCATGGGCAACAGTATGCTCATGTGCTCATATACATATAAATAATAGTAATGATGCTAAAAAGACCCAACGCTAATTCTTTTTCATCCTGCCATGTTGGCTTTCCTATTCTGTTCTCACACTGGCTTTTTCTTTGGTATTTGAAATTTTCAGCTGCCTGTTTTTTTTTTTTTTTTTTCCAGACAGGGTTTCTGTGTAGCTCTGTTTGTCCTGGAACTCTGTAGACCAGGCTGGCCTCGAACTCACAGAGATCCGCCTGCTTTTGCCTCCCTAGTGCTGGGATTAAAGGCATATGCCACCATGCCTGGTTCAGATTCTTGTTTTGTCCAGTGTTTTTCTAAAAAGAATTCAAAGTGGTAGGTTTCCTCCTTTCTATAGTCTCTGTCCTTTGGTAATAGTCAAGTCATTGTGATTGCTATCCTCTGGCAATATTATCCTTAAAATTTGATGTTAACCTAAGATAATATATGTGTATTAAATTGAGAGGTTTTATTGAGTAAGCATAGTGGCCCATTCTGTAATCCTATTACTTCCAAGGTAAAAGCAGGAGGATTGCTATAAATACAAGGCTGCCTGGGCTACAGAGTGAGGAGACACTGTCTCAGAAAGCAGGAAGAGGGTGGAAGGGCCTTAAAAGAGAAGGAAAGCGTGTTCATCTTCATCTGCTAATTTGATTGATTTATATATAGGTGTATGTGGGTGATTTTTTTCCCCCTCTTTGGGGGCCTGCCACCCAGCTCCTAACTAAATACACAGAGACTTATTCTTACGTATGAATGTCCAGCCTTAGCTTGCTTGTTTCTAGCCAGCTTTTCTAATTTAAATTATCCCAGTTCTCTTTAACTACTTTTTGCCTCTGGGCTTTTTATCTTTCTTTATCTTTACTGGCTGTGTGGCTGACCCCTGGTGTCCCCTTCTCTTTTCCTTGCTCCTTCTCTCTCAGGCCTAGAATTCTCCCATTATTCTCTCTGCCTGGCAGTCTTGCCTCTCCCTCTCCTGCCTAGCTATTGGTCGTTCATCTCTTTATTGAACCAATCAGGAGTTTTAGACAGGCACAGTAACACAGCTTCACAGAGTTAAACAAATGCAACATAAAAGAATGCAATACATCTTTGAATCATTAAACAAATATTCCACATCATAAATGAATGTGACACATCTTAAACTAATATTCCACAAGAGATGTTAAAATAACCCATGTAGGACTTGCTTCCTTTGTTTTTCAGTGAGCTGTTTTCCCCGTCTCAGAAGTACCAGCTTTTGGTGTATCATGCAGACTCTCTCTTTCACGATAAGGAGTATCGGAATGCCGTGAGTAAGTATACCATGGCTTTACAGCAAAAGAAAGCCTTGAGTAAAACTTCAAAAGTGCGACCTTCAACTGGAAATTCTGCATCTACTCCACAGAGTCAGGTGATTAAGAGAGAACTTGTTTGTTTATATTTATTTAGGGTTTTCAAGACAGGGTTTCTCTGTGTAGATAGTCCTGGCTATCTAGGAACTTTCTCTGTACACCAGGCTGGCCTCAAACTCACAGGGATCTGCCTGTCTCTCCTTCCCAAGTGCTGGTATTAATGGTGTTCGCCACCATTGCCCAATCTTTGTATGTGTGCATACGTATGTATATATGTGTATATGTATATATAATTTTTTTGAGGACAGGGTTGAAGTATTTTTTTCAGTGATGGGTTGCTCTGGTGTAGAATGAAACAGTTCTTCATTTTTGTTATCACGTACTATTCCATGGCACATGCATCCTGCATTTTGTTCATCTGTTCATTAATTGATGGGCATTGGGTTGCTTCTTCTGTTGACCATGAGTATTGTGGCTGTGAGGGTTTGTGTCCAGGTTTGTAGGTGAGCTTGCTTTTATTTGTCTATTTATCTATATTTATTTATTTATTTGTTGGTTTTTCAAGACAAGGTTTCTCTATGTAACAGTCCTGGCTGTCCTAGAACTTGCTTTGTAGACCAGGCTGGCCTTGAACTCACTGAAATCCACCTGCCTCTGCCTCCCAAGTGCTGGGATTCAAGGCATGCTTCTTGCTTTTATTTCTTGATTGTCTATCTAGGAGCAGAATTGCTAGGTTATAAGATTACTAACTGTTTAACATTTTGAAGACCTGTCACACTGTTGAGATCGTATTTTGAAGAGACGTTTTGTTATTTTGCAGTGTCTTCCATCTGAAATTGAAGTGAAATACAAAATGGCTGAGTGTTACACAATGCTGAAACTGGACAAAGATGCCATCGCTGTGCTCGACGGGATCCCTTCACGACAGAGGACTCCCAAAGTGAGCCAAGTTCCCTCTTCCTGTTCTCTTTACCCTACCTCATCGCGTGTGTTCTCCATGTTTCAGAAAGTCTGTCTGATCATTCTTCTCCTGGCGCTCATTCTTTTTTTTTTTTTTCCTTTCTAAATAGGGTTTCTCTCTGTAGTAGCTTTGGCCAGGCTGGCCTAGAACTCACAGAGATCCACCTACCTCCCAAGTGCTAGGGTTAAAAGGCGTGTTCCACCACAGCCTGTCAGTGGCTCTCATTCTTGTCCTTTCCTCTAGTAGTGGATGGAGTTGGGGTTCAGACAGATAGATGGTTGATTCTTTAAGGAACCCTGAGAATTCAGCTAAGTATAGTGGCACTCATCTATAATCCCAGCACTGGGAGGTAGGAGGAGGAAAGCCAGGCGTTCAAGGCTGTCCCATGTGTATAGCCCCAGAGCGTAGTCAGAGTGTCAAGCTCCAGTGTAGAGAAAAACAGCATTTCAGTAGATACTCAGCATTGACTCTGAACTCCACACACATGTATGTTTATAGCACACACGCTTGCATGCATCTACACATGAGCACATATACAAAAGACTACTGGCGGATATATATTTGTGTTTAATTTGGCAGTATATTAAAGAGTGTGCTTTTTTTTTTTTTTTTAAG